AAGTAGACCAGAGAAACATACACCAAAATTATTAATTAACATAACCTTTATTAATTTAAACAACGAGATTAAGTCAAAGTGACATAACTGACAATTTGCACAGACGAATTTTCATATCCTGTATTATTCTGCTATTGTTAAATTATTCATTCACATACTCTTTTTATCAATCGGTAATAAAAAACGTGAGGAAATTCTGTCAAAAGACGAAATACCGAAAAAAAAGTTTGTAAAAAAACACAGTGTCACCCAGACCTGCGCCCCCTTAATCTGGTCGCTTGCCGGCAGGCGCCCAAACGGACAGCCGGGACATCAACGGGCTGTCCCTGCTGCACCACGCAGTGGACTCGGGACAGCCGGACAGCGTCCAGTTCGCCCTGGACGCGGGGGCGGACATCGACCTGCAGGACTGCAGCGGCTGGACGCCCCTGATCAGGGCAGGTGAGCCTCAGTTGCCGCCCTTAGCCACGCCCCCCGCTAACGCTGGGCGCTTTGCAGCCATCCACGGCCACGCCCACATCGCCGCCCTCCTGCTGGCCAGGGGGGCGGAGCGGGGGCGGCGCGACGCCCACGGCCTGGACTACGCGCGCCACCGCCAGCTCAGCGGCGCCCCCTGCTGAGGAACAGAAGACAAAAACTAGGCAAATCTACACGCTTATAATCTCTTATAATCAAGTACAGTAGCTTAACCTCAATAAAAGCCGAACCTGAACCTAACCTCCGAAAGTGTGCTAAGTAGACAAAATAAGTTAATATAGGTAGAAATTTATTTTGTTTCGATAATACAGCTTGACTTGACTTGATGACGTGAAACGGGGAATGTCCACGAAACAGCCCCCCCCCCCAAAAACGGCCCTTTGGCAGACACAACGCGCGAGAAAGAGACAGACTGAGTGAGTGGAGTGGGGCCGCGCCCCATGTTGCGAGACCGCGCCCAGGGCCGGCTCTGATTGGCGGGCGTGTTTCGCAACATCCGGGCAATTAATAGTAAACACTCATTAGTCCAGTTACGTGTAAAAAACAATCGGTTGGGCGGCGCGCGCACACTCCTAACGATTGGTGTTCTTCAGCTGATTGGACAGCCAATCGAGGCCCTCGTACAGGCCGTCGCCGCTTGTTGCGCAGGTCGCCTGAATGTACCAGTTCCGGTTCCTGAGCGAGTGCAGGCCGAGCTTGTCGGTGATTTCCGCTGCGTTCATCGCGTTCGGCAGATCCTGCTTGTTGGCGAAGATCAGCAGAACGGCATCTCGCAGCTCGTCCTCGGCCAGCATGCGCATCAGCTCGTCTTTGGCCTCGCCGATACGCTCCCGATCGTTGCTATCCACTACGAAGATCAGACCCTGCAACAGACCGGCATTTTTTCACTTTTTTCCCAAACGGTTCGGCCGATTGCCGATTCGATGTCGGATTCGGCTTTTCCGGACGATTTCAGCTGAAAACGAGTACCATGTCGATGGGGCCCAAAAAAATTTTTTTGTTTTTTTTTTGGAGAATGACCCATCGACTTGGTACTCATTTTCAGCTGAAATCGACTCAAAAAGCCGAATCTGCCGTCAGAATTCGCCCCCGATGGCCATGAAGCGAGAAACTTGCAAATGCCGGTTTTTCGGGAAAAATCGAAAATCTTGGCAACAGTGTCTTGTTTGGGTTTCCCCGCAATTTCCCGAAAACCATCGAGCGAATCGCGATTGCAGTTGAAAACGAGTACCATGTCGATGGGTCCCAAAAAGATTTTTTTTTTTTTGGAAAATGACCCATCGACTTGGTACTCATTTTCAGCTGAAATCGACTCAAAAAGCCGAATCTGCCGTCAGAATTCGCCCCCGATGGCCATGAAGCGAGAAACTTGCAAATGCCGGTTTTTCGGGAAAAATCGAAAATCTTGGCAACAGTGTCTTGTTTGGGTTTCCCCGCAATTTCCCGAAAACCATCGAGCGAATCGCGATTGCAGTTGAAAACGAGTACCATGTCGATGGGTCCCAAAAAGATTTTTTTTTTTTTGGAAAATGACCCATCGACTTGGTACTCATTTTCAGCTGAAATCGACTCAAAAAGCCGAATCTGCCGTCAGAATTCGCCCCCGATGGCCATGAAACGAGAAACTTGCAAATGCCGGTTTTTCGGGAACAATCGAAAATCTTGGCAACAGTGTCTTGTTTGGGTTTCCCCGCAATTTCCCGAAAACCATTGAGCGAATCGCGATTCTGCCGTCAAATTCGGCTTTTCTAGTCGATTGCAGTTGAAAACGAGTACCATAGTAGTCGATGGGTGTTTGAAGTAAAAAACAATTTTCGGTGAATGACCCTTCGACTTTATACTCATTTTCAGCTGAAATCGTCCCAAAATGCCGAATCTGCCATCAGAAGTCGCCCCCGATGGCTTTGAAGCCAGAAATCTGCAAATATTGCTTCATCAGAAAAATCGAAAATTTAGGCAACAGCGCCTTTTTTTTTATTTCCCGCATTCGTTTTGCCCTTAACACGGCTTTCCGAACTGAACCCCGTTTAGCGCATTTGGGGGGTAAAAATTGCCAAATTTCCCGAAAAAATAAAGTTAAAAAATTTTTTTTTTTGGAGAATGACCCATCGACTTTATACTCATTTTCAGCTGAAATCGTCCCAAAAAGCCGAATTTGCCGTAAAAATCAGCCCCCGATGGCTTTGCAGCGAAAAACTTGCAAATGTCGATTCTTCTGAAAAAGGATTGTTGGCAGGAAAAATCGAAAACTTAGGCAACAGCGTCTTTTTTTGGTTTCCCGCATTCGTTTTGCGCCTAACACGGTTTTTCCCAACTGGACGCAGTTTAGCGCATTTGCGGGGTAAAATTTGACAAATTTCCCGAAAAAATTAAATTTCACAAACTTTTTTTTTGGAGAATGACCCAACGACTTTATACTAATTTTCAGCTGAAATCGTCCCAAAATGCCGAATTAAACAGCTGGACGCAGTTTAACGCATGTGGGAAGTAAAATTTGGCAAATTTCCCAAAATGTTTTTTTTTGGATAATGACCCATCGACTTTATACTCATTTTCAGCTGAAATCGTCCCAAAAAGCCGAACTTGCCGTCAGAATTCGCCTTCGATGGCTCTGAAGCGAAAAACTTGCAAATGCTGCTTCTTGGGAAAACGAACTGTTGCAGGAAAAATCGAAAACTTGGGCAACAGTGTTTTTTTCGGTTTCCCGCATTCGGGGGGTGAAAATTGCCAAGTTTCCCGAAAACCATTGAGCCAATCGCGATTCCGCTGTCAAATTCGGCTTTTCCAGTCAATTTCAGCTGAAAACGAGCACCATGTCGATGGGCGTTTAACCTCAAAAGAACAAAATCGCGGAGAATCACCCATCGACATGGGTAGGTCCCGTTGAAATCGAGCCAAAAACCTTTGGCAACAGTGCTTTTTGTGCCTCGGCCCTGAGAATGGCCAACCTTCAAAACGTTTCTCAAAACAAAAAAAAAAAACACGCGCGAGAAAGAGAGGAAACCTCCAGCCAATCACACACTACCTTTCTCCACTCGCCATGCTCGATATAGCTCATCTAGAACAAAAAAGAAACACGAATAAAATCGTCTAGACAAAGAGGGGCCGTTGCGCCGTCTCCCTTTAGCAACAGCTGCGCAGCACTGACTTTCGCCTGAGGATGGTGTTTTGAGCGCGAAACTTTCCGTTAAAATCGCCAAATCAATCGAATGGCTGGAAAAATGGACACGACAGACACCGGACATGGACACCGTTGCCGGATTTTCGGGGATTTACTGATGTTTGCGGCATTAAACCAGGAACGAATGCGGGTTTTGTTATGAAAAAAAAAAAAAAACAAAAAAATGTGAGTGGTTTGTGCTGATTTCCGGGTGATTATTTGGAGCGTCGCTGTTGCCACAAGGTTCCATAGTGGCATTTTTGGGGCACTTTTCACTCATTGACGTTCCCGCACGATAACAAAGGATGACACAACAGTTGGCAACAACTTGCGTTGCCAAATGGGCAAAAATACAGCCGTCGCCTTGACAACGGGTTGACACGCACGTCACAGCGGGAAAATCAACCCGGGCCCGTAGAGAAAAGTGGTGAAAACTGGCGCAGAGCCGCATTTCCCCGAAAAACGCCACTAGGAAAAGTTGTTCCTGGCAGGATTCTCGATGAGGTGAGCACAATGGCTGCTTCGCAGCCCCGGGGCGGGTGTTCTAGAAAATTGCCTGGCGGGCGCAGGTCAAGCAACAAAAGGCCTGGGGACATGAAGCGCAACCCCACACCGAAAAGCCCCGCTTAAGCGCCGTGTTTGCAGCACTCACCTGTGTGTTTTGGAAATAGTGTCTCCATAAGGGCCGGATTTTGTCCTGACCGCCCACATCCCAAACCGTAAAGCTGATGTTCTTGTATTCTACTGTTTCCACATTGAATCCTGCAAACGAACAAAGTTTGAGTGATCGAAAATCCTCCTGCTCAAGCCCGATGATTCATCCACTAATCACTTATTGCGATTGATTGGGCTGACGCACCAGGATCCAGATCAGGCCTGCGGGCCGGCCGCTCGCAACTTACCAATGGTCGGTATCGTGGTCACAATTTCGCCTAATTTGAGTTTATAGAGAATGGTGGTTTTACCAGCTGCATCCAATCCAACCATCAGTATTCGCATTTCCTTCTTGCCGAACAGTCCTTTGAACAAGTTGGCAAACACGTTCCCCATTGCGGTGTTTTTGGTTATTGGCCGCACTCAATCTAGACCTGAAACCAAGTTGGAGGGCCCCAATTAAACCGCTGGTTTTGGTGCATTTTGCGAACAAAGAGCCCAAAACTGCGGTTTGGTTAGTGATCATGCAGACTGCGAGTATCGATTAAGGCCCCGCACCAGGGGGCTCGGCCCCCTGGTGCGGGGCAGAGCCCCGTTCAGGGGCAGACAAAACTTGACGTAAACCGAGCGGATTGGTGGCGGCCAACAGAGCACTCGTTTTAACACTGAAACGCCGCAGTTCCTGCGGGGTTGCACTGCACAAGTGGGCGCCGTCCCAGGGCTGAGTGGGCGCAAGGGGCACCTACCTGGATTTGCACGAAAACTCCACGTATTATCCGAAAAATGCGCCAGAACATACACGAAATCCACCCCGAAGTTGTCGAATGTCAATATGGCGGACGTGGATGAATTTTGCACGGCTGCCACGTCCTGCCACTACTGGCACGCCATTGGTCCGCACGACCACGTGACTCACGCCTGCCAACCTCGCGAACCGGCGCCCACCATTGCCAGCCCAAAGCTCCCAACCACTATGTCTGTCTTTGTTCACCGCACGCGGACTGATCACGGCTGGACGGCTACGCCCAGCAGACCCGGTTTTCCCCAGAATAAAATCTAAAAATAATTGTGCCACTGTCAACAGAGCAGATTCCCAATTCTTTGAAAATAAACAATTTTTTAATTTTTTTCCAGTCAAAAACAGCTCAAATTAGAACAACTTTTGACGAAAATCGCCTGAAGATGACCGAAAACCGAAACGTTTCTTGTTGGCGAAAAAGCCCCCACACTTGCCCCGCAAAACTCATTC